GACATGGAGAGTCCAGTAGCATTGTTCCAAGCTCTGACTGGAAAATGCAACTTCCCAAAATCCAGCATTTACTTAGCCATGGATACTTCATTCGTATTTTAGAGGAATGATTGTGGGTTTATTGGGGGTCTGGGAAGATATCCAGGTCCAGTATGTCTGGATCTGACATTACCTCCTGTACATGAATGCTGGTTTTGTTTTGGTCCTTGTGCTGTGGCTTAGCCTGGATGGTGGTGAGAGTCATGCAATGCCTCTCCCCTCCCGTCGTAATGTGGCTGTGTCCCTGCTTGCACTCTTCAGGCAGCTCTACTCTTGAACAAAAGATGAAATTATGACTGCTCTCCTTGTCATTTTGTATAGGGCCAAGGGCTTCCAGCACCAAAGGATGACCAATGGGGCAATGAATGTTGAGATTGGAAACCCTGCTTACAAGATCTATGAGGGCGAGCCTGATGACGATGCTGGGGAGCTGCTAGATGCAGACTTCACTCTGGACCCAGACAAGGTAGAGAAAAATATAGACGTGTGCAAAACTTCAGTCACTCTTCATTTCTTTATAGTGTTCTTGCAAGTTGCCAGACTATTATAATGCAGTTTTTATTTAAAAAAAAAAAGTCCTGAGTAATAGGTTAATAGTTAGTATTTTCAGTCCAGTCCTTGTACCTGACTATTTTCAGAGGGATGCTTTCTTGTTTGTTAAGCCACTTAACACCAACCTATTAATCATTGAAGGGTTTAAAAAAGGTGCGTAACTCAAGTGATGAAGCAGTTTTCTGTTTACACATAACAAGCAACTTAGCAAAGAAGCAGTTTTATCTTTAGCCACTTTGTTATTTGCAGACTGTCGCAAACATCATCATCAGACAGCACAGACAAGCTTAAAATAGTATTGTTGCACCAACAAGGCGATTCCCAAAAAATCTATTAGCCCCAAAAATTGGCATCTCTCAGCATGGTGTGCAGTGTGTCCTTAAAAACACTTGATGAACAGCAGGTCATGTAATTAAGAAACAAGAAAGGTTCAGCAAAGACCTGACACAGGACCTGAGAGATGCAGGTGAAGCGATTAATCCAAATTTTCAGTTTTTTGATTCAAATTGTCATCAGTGTGTATGGAAGCGAGCTTTGAATGTCCTACAAGAAGAAGAAGCTTGCCTAAGAGAGTTCTTGGTATGTTGAAGAATAAAGCTGGTTATACTGCATTTCCATGTATGTTTGCACAATAAATCCAGCATCTATTCCACATTTATCTTGCAAAATATAAAAAAAAATTGGAATGACTGAAGACTTTTGCACAGCACTGTATATTCGTGATGCTAAACTTCAGTGTTTTAAACATGATGTGATGGATCATTTTTCTTCCTTCCAGCCCACTAACTTCACCAACCCAGTTTATGCCACTCTGTATATGGGAGCTCACAACAGCCGCAACTCTCTGGCCAGCACAGATGAGAAGAAGGAGTTGCTATCCCGTGGAGATGAGGAGCCCCTTGTGGACCCACTGGCATAGACCTTGGTGCCGGATCACGCTATTCCAAACACCCCCCC